GAAAACCCATATTAGACTGTAGTAGTAAGTAAGAGTATAGCCGTAAATCTTCAAATATAAACAACACTAAAACGTAAGAGTAGAGCTAATTAATAAAGAATTTATGAGCACTTCACCATATAAAAAATAACAAGCTAGCTCACTTATTGATTCATATTTGTTGTGCAATATCTAAGATAATTGATACTATGGGGACGGCTTTAGAGTTGTTGTTGTTCATTCGTACATGTGCTCAGCAGTGGCTTCACAACATTTTCAAACAACAAACTGCTCATGGGTCGATTGTAAACACCTCTATACTATAAATGTAAGCTTGGCACACATGTACACACTGACATACAGACGACACGGATACAGATACGTTCAGATTATCGCATGCATACTCACACACTTAAACATTTAGTCGTATCTATGTGTATGGTGGCTCAGCCAGCGCTTGGAACTATGCCCACACAACAATCCACAAGTGTTTGTTTTTTTCCCGCTGCTAGTCGTGTTTATAAGAAAAAACAACAGCGGTGGCAACAACAACAGCAACAACAACCTTGTTCATCATCGTTTTAGTTGCTTAGCTTTTTGTCGCTTGATTGCATTTTATTTCTATGGAAATTCACAGGCCACGTAACGCATTTGGATTAGCAACACGTGACCATAACAAAAATCAACTATGCACATACTGGAATTGAAAGAAAAATATTTGTTTTTGAAGAGCAATTGAAACAATTTGAAGTTGAAGATAAGGCCACTTCTGTGGGTCTTGGCGTGGGCCTAGCGCGTGAATAGTTCAAAAGTTTTATAAACGGGCACGTGCCTTACGGGGCGTATGTGTAATGCGTGAATAGGCTTCGTATACGTAACACCATGTGATGAGGCATTTGCTAAGGGGCGTTGCACGTGCCACGGAACACATACATATGTATGTAGGTGCACGCATGCATGTGTATGTATGTACATATCGATAAGTGTACATGACTACACACACAGACATGCACAGTTGTAATTGTCCAGCTCAGACTGTGAGATCAGCAACAGCTACAGCAATGGCAAGGAATGCAACTTATGCAAGCCATTTCAGCCAGCGCCCATTTTCATTGCGCAGTGGACTTGGACACGTTTGTGACATTTGTTGATCGTGCTGGGCAGTGACTTGTTGCTTTGATTTGGTGTGACCTTTGCCAGAGCTATAAATAGATTGCATGCCTTTGTTAGTGGCGACCGCTGGCATTTAAATTTAATTAAAGTGCTGGAAAATAAAATGAAGTAAACAAACTTATATGTGCGTACACCTCCTATATGTATACGTATACGAATACGTATAAGGGATACGTATACGTACATATGTATGCGTATATATAAACAAAGTGCTGTGCTGATAATACTCACAAGCAGCTAAAACATTTGCACAACACGTGACCAACAACAAACTGGCATGTGTGTTGCGGTATGTGTGTATTTGTGTATATATACACAAACACAAATGGGTGTGTGTGTGTTTATTCATGCGTACATGTATTTCCAAACGTCTGTGTGTATGTAAAATGGCTGACACGCTCGCCTCGCGTGAGATATTACGTCATGCGCTATGAATTTTTTTCGTTGGCTGTGGCCGCTTTCAACGTGTCTTGATTAAAAAGCTGCTCACGCGTTCAGTAAAGAGGGAGCGCATTGTGAAAAGAGAAACAGTGACAGATAGCGAGAGAGATAGAGAGAGTGAGAGCGACAAAGAAACAAAGTGAGTGTAAGTGAGTAAGAAGTATGTATGGACTGCTCTGCCACTTCGCTGGTTGTGTTGTTCATGAGCAGCCAACTCAGCGTATGATTATTATTTCGATTAATAATAACACTTATATGTGTTATATGTATATGTATATCATATATATGCATACATACATAAGTGTATTTATAAAGGCGTCGAGTGCTTAAATACTATAAAAACAAAATGTCAGCCGACTGCGAGAGCTTGCGCTTTGCATGAATGTGTGCCTGTGAGACAATCGCTTTGTTGCCAGGCAATCCTCGCTCCGTCGCAATTCGCCGTCAAACGTGGCCGTCGTTGTTGTCGCCGCCCAATGTAACAGCTGCGAATCGCTTTGGAATTTGTCACGTTCACGTGTTTTATTATGTGCCGCTGCTGCTGCTGCTGCTGCTGCCGTTGAGCGTAGAGACTGTTGTTGTTTTGCTTAATTTGCCTTGGGCTTCTACGTTGTGTTTTCTTTATTTCTTTGTTGTTGTTTGCGTCTGCCTTTCGACTTGAAAGCTGTCAGACAAACATAACAGAAACAACAACTGCAAAGGCAAAAAAGCACGCAGCGCACGCCCCATTGACCATTGAGCTCTATAACGGTAATCTTTATATGCATATGTACGTGTAGGTGAACGTTTACTATCAATAAAATAATCGAAAAGTTTTTTCCTGCCTGAATGTCTGCACTATGCTTGTACACATTTATTTTTAACAATCACTCAATCAACAATAAGTACTATAGTCGGTATAGTAAATGCTTATTAATAACACCAACGCATACCAATACATGTTCACATATGTGTATGCAAGTAATTCACACACAACTAACTATGGTAGTGCTTTCATTTCCATAATAAACATTAACATAATATTTTAGCAGATACATTTGTGAATACAGGTACGTACATATATGCCTATATGCCTCCAGTAAATTTATTACGTACACACACACTTTTATATGTAAGTGGAATGCATATTCTTTTGTATTATTCGAATAGGGCTATGAACTGCGCTTCCAAGCTATTTCTGGTGCATGCAGCTTGAAAATTGTTCTGAATGGTCATCAGAGAACCTTTTAACTTCAAAACTATTCTTTAACAGAGGTTGGCATATTTTGTATCTTAGTTCTATTTACAATTATTGTAGTTTGAAAAATGAGCTCTAAATAAAAATAAGTAAACGCGATTATATAATTTACAGCTTTAACAACAATTGATCAGTGTAACCTATACATTTCATATTTGAACAAATATGTTCAGCTCAGACCCACTGTGGCAATCACGTTCGCCGCGCACGAAATGCGATAACATCAACGCACGCTCGCACACACTCAAATAGATCTGAAAGCCAACGCATACCAGCACACACGTATGCGCACACAATCGCATTCACACACATACCAAAGTCAGCCGCAGTACAACATGACTTGACAAAGTGCTTCGCTCAGTGTCAGCGGGGCGGTTTCTCTCTCGTTTCTCTCACGTTTCCTAGCTCTTTTGCCATTTTACTGCTCGCATACCCGAGGCACGTCATCTTCTCTCACGAACTGCTCACAGTATTTGGTCTCGTGTTGTGTATATGTGCACACTTAGCATGAAGTTAAGTTGGATTACTATTCAGTTTGTGACAGAGATGTAACTGCGTTGACAAACTAATAAATTTCAGTCATATATTTAGTTTGTGAAACATCAGAATGGGTTATATTCAACAAATATATGTATGTAATATTTATTAAAAGTTGCAAATACACTCGTTGATTTTTAGATATGTACATATGTACATGTTGTAGTTTGGGTAGGGTATTAAGCTTTCGATGCGCGACTTTTGCTTTTACCGCTTGGTTTTAATTTTAGCCCGTTCGCCGCGTATTTTTCATTCATTTCAATTCGACCGTTCGTAGTGAGCAGTTGATTTTAGCAGCGTTTCGGACAGCGCAAGTGTTTTAACACTAAAAAAGAAGAAAAGAAATACAAAGTTATAGCAGCAGCAGCAACAACAAATTACACGCATACATACACAAGTAAATATATATACATACGTATATACAAAGTGCTTTGTAGTAAAATATACAAATACACGCAAACGGTGCGCACACAATACGCGGCTGCTGGTAAAATTCCACTGTGAAACGAAGGAAGTTGTGTATTAACAAAATAAATACAAAATAATTCAAAGTACAAAACGTGTATATCGTTGCCGTGTGACAAAAAAAAAAAAATCACGTTTTTCGACAATCGTTTGCTTTTGGAGCTGTGCGGTGCGGAGCAGGTGGCTGTGTGTTCGTGTGTGGCAGAGAGCAAGTCCCGCGACCAAAAACGAGACGTGAGTGCAAAGAAATTTCAAGGTTTCCAACGTAGGCGCATCAGCTGCAGAAAACGCGTGGGCCAAAAGCAAGCACGGGCGCGGCAGAGCCAGAGGCAGAGGCTGGTCTAAGACAATTACATATCTGAGGCCAAGGCTTACATTGGTCCAACAAGTGCGGTTAAATTTCCACCTAAATAAACGTCCTACAAACTGTCGTCTCTCAATAAAAATTAAGCCGCATATACATATGTGCACGTATGTACATAAGTGTGTGTGTGCGTGTATGTACCTAGTGTGTGCATACGTGTGAGCAATTTGTGTATATAAATAAGCCTTATCTCACCCGTTGCTGTCTTTGTTATCGGCACAGTAACAAAAACAAAAGGCCGCCACTGCTGATAAGGAGAACAGTCATCCCTTAACAGTCAACAGATAATTGACGCCGCATATCAAAAGTCGTTCACTCTTCAAGTGATTCTAAAATAAACACAGAAGCTAAATTCGAAATGTTATGCTACATGTGAAACGGGCGAGCGTGTCATAAGTGTTCGAAGAGTATTGGATATTTAAGTCTGATACAAGTACAAATTGCAGTAAATATTTACAGTCCCCAGTCAAAATCTAAAAATTGAAATTGTTAGAATAATCAAATAAGTTGCTAAGCAAGTTGTGCTGTGCGAACCCACCATACAATTGAACAGAGCAACAATTCGTAATTCGCCGCAATAAATTCGCCGTGGCCGACAACCTGTTTGCTGTCATACGAATTCGTGCGCTCACTCGCCGGCATTTTATCTTGTCTTTTCTGCATTGACGTCGAGAGCGAATACCTTCCACCATTCCACCACAACAGCAAGTAACGTCGACGCAGCAGGAGCAGCAGCAGCAGCAGAGGATATCAGCAAACGAAAATTTGCCCAGGAGCGTCACCTCTAGCAGCAGCCGCCGGAGTCTCAGCAGCAACAGCAGCATGGAGCCCTATTGGAGCGAGGCAAACGGACATGCAGCACATCCGGTTAAGTATGAGAGGTAGGTATATATACCAAAGGCATTTTGCCAGAGCACTCCACCACCACAAGAACAACAACTAGGACAACTGTAAACAATAATGAACAATGAACATACTCACTTTCACCTGCCCGCGCTTAAGTTTATGCATAAATTACAGTTAGTTTAATTTTAAATCGTGTCTAAGCTGTAGGCTAAGTTAGCAGGCGGCATTGTAACGGTACACATAGTAACATGTGTGAGTATTTCTGTGTGTGCGTCTGTGTGTATGTCAGTTTGCGATTGGGCGTGGATCGTGAGGCTATTTTTGGCAGTTGAGCAAAATGAAGAAGGAAAAAGAAGCAAAAATTAAGTGAAAAACAAATGAAAACGTGGGCAGACAGACTCGCGTTCGCTTGACGCCTTTGACTCTATTTTTAAAATGGATTTTAGTTGATGTATTTATTTATGCAAACATTTTGCAAAAACACTGGCAAAATACAACACACACGATTGGGCAAACGTGACGCTCACTTTTGGGGGCTTACCCCTTCTTTCTCTCTCTCCTTTTCAATATGTATTCTGAACTTGAATTCGTGTGGAATTTTGTTTTTGTTTTTTATTCTGGGCAGTAGTCAAAACAACGTGTGTGCCTATAATATGTATAATTTATCTATATGGATTTATGCATATTCATACTATCGTGCATATAGCAAGTTTTTATGAATAACTAAGAGCTTGGCCCAACCGGACTGATTGGTTTTATAAATCGCCCGCTTATATTCTCACTAAATGTCAACGGCCAAAATGCTTTAGGGCTATAAATAGTCCATTGGAGCGCTCATTTCAGTGGCTTTTGTGGGCGTGTTGCTCTCACACAAGCAAGCACTCACGCACACTTTGTGTGTATGTGCTTGTTGTGTTTACTAGTCGGTGTCCTTTTGAAGGTCAGCAACTGTTTTTGATTTTTTGTTTTTTTTTTTTTTTTTTGTTGCTGTCTATTTTCGTGTCCAGCAGAATGACGCCTTTAAGTGATTTTCTATAAATATGCTCCCCTATTAAGTGCACCCATTCCAATTGGCCATTCGTCAAATATACAGCACTCATTTGCTTAATTAACGCTATAATTAATATATTGACAAATCCATTTACCAATAGCTAAGCACAGATGCTGTCTTGCCCATGCTCTTTTATTTAAGATCAATCATTGAGACACTCAAGGCTCACGTGAGCAATAAATTAAGTCCAGACATGACAAGTTAAGGCAATTAGCCAAACTGCGAGGCATTTCGAGGGTTATCTGTGGGTTATACATACATACATTTATATATATTTTCGTAGGCATACGAATATATTTTTATGTATATATATAAATGAATATAATTATGTATACATAAACTTGAATTAGAATAGGCCCTTGAACAGTAAATATTTAGATACATCTTTCCGTTATGAATCAGGAAATTAGAAAGAGAACCCGAAAAGAAAATTATCGAAATTAAAGGAGTTTCCAGTTTTGGCCACCTTATCGCCAGCATTATCATCGTGACGGTTATCGCAATCTTTGTCGCGCTCGATATCATTATCATGATATTGTTTGCCAGTTTATTCAAGTCGTCACTTGGCACTTGAAGTTAACACACGTCCGCGCAGCCGTCATATATTTACAACGTATATAATTTACTCTAGCGATGCTTTAATCAACAAACAACAACTCAACTAGTACAATCATGTCATCCATAAAAGAGATAAACAAGCACGCGATAAAAGCGAATTTCTGGTGACGCACATGGTTGTGTGTACTTAACGGATAACTGAGCTATATATTTTACATGTGTATGTCTGCTCATATATAGTATATATATGTATATACATATGTATATCTAATATTCCTGACAAGGAGTGTGGGCTGTGCAAAAATATGTGAGATCTCGGGTTTGTTGCACGACGAGGCAGCTGCTCCACATACCAAACTCAAATATGCAGCTGTCTCTCGTTGTTTTCGATTTCGGGATCTTTGAGACATCGTTACCCCAGCCACTCCCAGTGATAAGCAACAAGTAATTGGTGATTAGTGATTTGTGATCTGCATTTTAGTGGCTATTGGTGAGAGACTGCAACGAGACAAACCTAAGAAAGTGTGTTTGTTTGCTGGCCACGTTTGTGTTACATGATGAAATCCTGTCAGCTGTTGCATGTTCGTCATGTAGATTAAGCAACGCACAAATGTTCAGCAAGACAACACGTCAAAGCTAGCCGCAATTAAACGAATTTATATACACCGATATAGATACATATATATATATAGATATATATGCTTATATATGTATGTACATACACTTTAGTGATCTATTTCAAATATATCAATATAGCGAAGTTAAACAACAACAAACGCATGCTTGTGCTCTATAAATAACAAATAAAAATTCATATACGCGCGCACACACACACACAAACACATACATTGATGAGTATGGGCAAAATTTTCAAATTGGAATAGCGGCGTACACTGATTCCAATTTCGAATTGGATTCCAAACGCCATTCGGAATCGCTTCGGCTTATCGTCAGCGTTCGGCCATTGCCATCCCCGACACAGGCACGTACACACGATCATTTCCATGCAGTTCTTTTCATGCAAACACACCCATGCACACAGACACACACACACACACACGCAGACCCTCTGTCTGCATACATATATGTATGTACATTCATATGTGTTCCACATATACATACGTTCCACACTGAATGTTTATATTTGAGCTCGTGAGATTCCTCGTGCCGTTTGACAAACGTGAGGCAGATATTGAGAAATTCACAAAACAATCATAATATGCATATCTGTCTGAGTGTGTGTGTCTGTAGCTGTGTCTATATCTGTGTGTAAATGTATCTTTTATTTTTCCGCGCTGTGATTAATACGCGCTGCACTCATTGGGGCCTGCGCCGGGGCAGGTGAGTCAGCGGCGACACATGAGCTGGGCCCGCATTGCATTTGATTGCCTCTAAATGATTCAAATGGATATATTTATATGTCTTTTGACCTAGTTATCAAAAGTATTTGATGCGTGAGTGTGTGTGAATGTGTGATATTTGTGTGCCCTAACAATGAATACGTATGTGTGTCTCGAAATATACATATTACAAATTTCAAAATATTATGCTTAAATTAATTTACACTAGAAATATGTGGAGACTTAACTCAACAATGCTACTTGAAAGCTTACTTAAAAGGAAAAAACTTGAAAACTCTGTAACAAGTTTATATTATTTTATAGGAATTTGAAAGATATCGAGTCTTAAGGCGAATTCTCTGTAAGGATTTAACTTAAAAAGTCGAATTTTGAATTCTTGAATTTAACAAGAGAAACTTATTATCTTCTACTCTGTTCTGGACTTGGATAGTTTTTATTTTGAATTATTATTACTGAAATCTTATTTATATTGCAAGATAAATGTTGAATGATATGTTATGGGATTTATTGAAATTTCGAATACTAAAGCATACACTATGTTACTTGAATGAATATTTCAAAGGAATGACATTATCAAATGAATATTATCAAATATTCTTGCAGGATAGCTCTTAATATAAATAATAATTATTATTTAAATTTTCTTATATTCAAAACAATTTAGTGAGAGTATACGATAATATCTAATTCCTTTCAGATTTACTCTCAAGTAAGATTGCTGAATATGCTCTAATATTTAAATATTTCATATAGGAATTCGAATAAAATAATATTTATCTTACAGCAAATTTTGATATATATAGAATCTTGAGGCATACCCACTTGGTATAGTTGGAATAGTTGGCTTTTGGCGGTTTATTTTTGTATGGATCAAGCAATGTTCATTTCCGCTGCATCGTCATTTTGCCAACGTTACAGCTACATATAGGAATATTTATATTTATGCATATTGATATATGTTGATATATGTATATGTATGTGTGCGGGCGTAACATGTGGCGTATAAGCAATGCAGCTGTGTGAGTCGTGTAGCACTCAGCGTCTGTGCTCAATTGAGCTAGTTGCTTTGTAAATTATTGTTGTTTATGTTTATTGAATCGCAGAAGCACGCCAGCATAAAGTTTACTGAGCGTGAAGAATCGGAATATAAATAGATGACTTGAGGCAGTTGTGTTTCGCATTCGTGTCTGTTGCTATGCACTGCTCTCGACACGTGGACACGTTTTGCTGTGTTGCAGTTCACTTAGACTTTTTTCCTTCTGTTTTGTTGAATAAGCAATTGGCACTCGGCACTTGGCACTGGGCTCTCCATTGAGCGAGTGCTTTGGTCACTATATCACGTGTACAGTCAGCCATGGCTATATCTATACATAATGCTAATTAAAAAGTTTCAGCTGGGCAACTGCAACCGGTTTGCGTGTGATTTCCAGTTTTCTCAAGCATAACAGATCAATCTCACGTGATCGCAGCTAAAGTCAACAACAAGTCAACTGGTTTTTATAGCAAAAATAAAAACTAATAAAACGAAAAATTCCAGCACTTGTATGCGGTTCTAATAATACTTTGGCAATTGCTAAATTGCTCTTGCTTGCGACTGTTGCCCGGCGGCTGCCCTGCACGAGCGATTGTTTATATGGTCTATTTATCTTATCAGCCACGTCGCAGACTGCTGCAGGTGCAGTCAAGGTTATGGCGGGCCAATGGTCGGCCTGAAGCTAGTCTCCATGTCGTGCGGGCTCTCAGTGCGAACAAATTTTGTTTTCCCTTAATATTTTTGTGTGTTCTCTGACGCTAATTTACCAAGGCAAAGAAATGAATTTATTATATTTATATTTCTGTTTACTTTTTGTTGTTTTCCCCCTACGCAGCGCGTCATCTCTCGCATCGTCTCTAGTGTTTTTCACTTTTTTATTCCATTTCATTTGCCTTTTTTTTGTGGCATTTCACAATTGGCGGCAGACGTTGCCATTGGCGACAAGACAACTGAAGTGTGGAAATATGAAAATTCTCTAATGTGAAGCGAAGGTCTCCCTCGTTTGACACACATTTCGTATCGGAAGTGCTTGACATTGAGTTCTTGGGTCGCGTTTACATAATTGTTTATACAGTCATTGATAGAAATTGACAGGAATTGGCTCAAACTTGTTTATATGACGAAAAATTTTCCACTTAGTCAGCTCATGAATCATCTGCTGAGATGAAAACATTCACACATTATTTAATCTGCTTTGTAGATCACAAGAGCATATACATTTATTATGTTATATATTTCTATATTTCCGAGCAGCCGCACTATCTTTGTTGTTTATTTACAAAACTAGCTTACTACATGTGCGGGCAATCTATTGAGTGGTGCTCGGGTAACTTCGAGGCGTACATACATGACATAAAGTACTATCTGAAAGTCAGAAAGTCATGTGAATCAATAGTGAACATTCGTGAATATGTACATGAGTGTGCACCTGTTTAAAGCGCTCTCATATCACGTGTAGCTGTAAAGATATCTTATCTATGGGCGCAAATAACAACTGGCAACCGTAAAGCTAGCCATCAATGGAATATAATTCCATTATTTGTAGGTTAACGCACGATATCGCGAAAACAACTTTTGAGGGCGTGCGTGTGCAAAACATTATAATTAGAGCATACAGGTGATTCACGACTAAATTAATTCATCACGAAATTCATAATGAACTGAAGGAAGTCTGGAGCCATTTAGCATTCAATTCCTCACTCACACCTCTAAGAGTATTCGAACTTCTGCGCCTTTCTATTTCAGCTAATGCGTTTTGGGGCATGCGTCCGATGGCCGTTCATGCTGTTGGCAAACAACGTGTGGCTGATCAACAGTTGGCGTCATTCGGCTTGCGAACTACCTGTCGCATAGACGAATTTTTGACTGCACTTCTGCAGTCTTCTGGGTTGATGGCTGGCTCATCTCTAAAATTAAACGAGCGCCGCTGCTTGCCAATTACTTAATAGCTGAAAGTGCGACGACGATGTTTTTGGCCCAATGGCCCCCAGGTTCGAAAACGCCAACGCGAGCCGTTGCCAGTTGGGGCGGCTTCAAAGGGGGCGTGTTCGTCGGGATCAATGTTCACTGTTCAATGTTCAGGGCATCGCGTCGCTATTTCATGAATCAAGCGAGTGATTTGGCAATGACGCCGTCCAACAGGTCCAAGGGTCGACGATTGTTACTTGAGAATGCAGCGAAAAAATACCCACACGCCCTGCACACGGGCCGGGCTGCCCAGTGGGCGGCCGCCCATCAGCCGGGCTAGCTGGCTGACCCTTTTGCTAAGTGCATGCAAATATAGTGAGAGTGCTGAAAGCCTTTAATTGAACCCTGAGCGCGCATTACTTATACGACACGTGCGCCAGGCGGTGTGCGTGACATTTACAGCGTTGTCCAGATTGCATATTTGATCCAGGGTGTTGCCAGAGTGTCCGAGCGGTTCTCCTAAGTTAAGTAGGCGCCGATGTCTGAATTTCAAGATTTCACAAGCGTTTACTGCGCGGGGGATAAACAAACAAGATTGAAGCGCCGTACACTGGCAAAAACTGGTATTCCGTGCGTCTGTATGAAGCATACACACACACACACACAAGTTTATGCATGTGTGTGTGTTTAAATATTGTTTACATATTCGACGAATCGTTGCGTGTTGCTGCTTATCGCAGTCGTCGCAACTCTTCTAGTGTTTTCTGGTTCGGTTTATTTCGTGCATGTTCGTATGGCCCAGCAGCAGATATGGTTTATAGCTACTTGTATCGCTTGTAATCGGGAGTTTGCTTAGCCAATTAGACATTTCTTATGAACCTAATCTTGGTTAACATCAAGGACAGAAATAGATATCAATTACCTAAATAACAATCATGAAGTATTTTCTAAAAATATTATTTGGACTTCTCTTCTTTTGTGCATAGAAAAATATCATAAAACAATAGATTTTATCACTTTTCTGTGCCACCCATTGATATTTGCTGGTAAATTTAGAACATATATCTATAGTATTTCTATTCGGAATATACCCTTTTCATTTGTTTGTTTGTCTTTTGCTTTTATATTTCCGATAGCTTTGTTTGTTTGGGTCACAATTGGTGCTCGTTGTTAATATTGAAATGCTTGCAATTTTTTTTCTTTCTTTTGATTCTGTTTATTTATTTACTTTTTGCCGCACTTGGCAACTGTTTTTATTGTTTCTTGTATTTTTAAGAGAATTTTTTCCGCAGTGACATCTTATTTGAATACAATACAATTTATTATTCAATTT